TAACATACATACAGTGGGGGCAAAATTGCCCCCCCCCCCCCAGCAGGAATAGGGTTAATTAAAGGAATTGTAAGTAAAAGTAATGTAATTTCAAGTGACATAATTTATAACATCAGCATTTAATTACCTTTCAACCTTTGTCTTACCATCGATAAATGAGATATTCTTATTTTTCTAGCTGAAAATGGAGTGCCGATTAACTCTTACAGTGTGTTTGCACTCCAAGCATGGTTATAGAACCGCAAAAAAAAATATATATAATCACAACATTTTAAGTCCAAAACAGTTTTTAATAATTTGAATGCAATTTTTGTTAGAAAAATAATGCTATCTCCATCATATCTAATCACGGAAACGGTTAAGAATCAGACATGCAAGGCTTCAAATGAAGAACCACTTAAATATACGTCCACAGTGCAGCCCCTTCTAAATAAAAACTTTTAAAAAATATTCAAAAATAAAGTGTTGGACAGTTAGAACAATTATGTAATGTACACTATGTCCAAGCTCTGAAGCGTTTCTTCTGATCATTCTAAAATTAAAAATATTTACTTTTCTAAATGTATTTATGTACCTTTGGAAGCACTTTTCTTACAAAGTTGCTGATTAAACTTTTCGCTGGCTTTTGCTACCTTTTTTGCTTTGCTACCCTTTATTTGGCATAGTATTTAAGATGTGTACTTTTAAACTTAGTTCTATGCAGGGTAAAGAGTGGGGGTTAGGTAATTGTGACTATAATATTATGCATAAATACGATGACCAGATTCTTGGCTGAATGCCAGAAAACAATACATGTTTATTTAAAAAAGATTATTCACAAATCAACCCAATTTTACACACGTGTGTTTTAAAAGTAAAGTTGTAATTGCTGTACTTATAAATTGTACAAAATAAGACAGGAACATGTATTTTTTCTATAACGAATTATAAATTCTGACAATAAGTTTTAAAAAGAAGCTTGAAAGGCTAGGGGGGGGGAAATAAAAAATAATTTTTCAGAATTTGGTTTTAACAGGACGATATATTTCTGCGTTTAATATTAATAATAACAACAATAACAACATTGATTGTCTTCGACCAAAAATTGTTTTAAAAGCTGATATTTCCCATCACTACTTGTTACTTGTAAGATATTATAAGTTTTAAAAGCTGATATTTCCCATCACTACTTGTTACTTGTAAGCTGTTATAAGTTTAAGAAGCTGATATTTCCCATCACTACTTGTTACTTGTAAGCTGTTATAAGTTTAAAAAGCTGGTATTTCCCATCCCTACTTGTTACTTGTAAGCTGCTATAAGTTTAAAAAGCTGATATTTCCCATCACTACTTGTTACTTGTAAGCTGTTATAAGTTTAAAAAGCTGATATTTCCCATCACTGCTTGTTACTTGTAAGCTGTTATAAGTTTAAAAGCTGATATTTCCCATCCCTACTTGTTACTTGTAAGCTGTTATAATTTTAAAAAGCTGATATTTCCCATCACTACTTGTTACTTGTAAGCTATTATACGTTTAAAAGCTGGCAAAGTAAACAAGTATTATATTAATATAATGTGAAGTAATCACGAGAAGTCAAACCGAAATATTTCTAAATTTAAAACACAGTTTAAAACTAAATTCAAAAAAATTCTTTTGGAGGCAAACTTATAACCCTGGATAGTCACTATCAGTACGGGAACATGTATATTGAACCCTGGATAGTCACTATCAGTACGAGAACATGTGTATTGAAACACTGGATAGTTAGTAAAAGTACGGGAACATGTATATTGAACCCTGGATAGTCACTATCAGTATGAGAACATGTATATTGAAACACTGGATAGTAACTAAAAGTACGGGAACATGCATATTGAACCCTGGATGGTCACTATCAGTACGAGCACATGAATATTGAATACTGGATAGTCACTAATAGTACAGTAACATGAATATTGAACACTGGAAAGTCACTATTAGTACGTTAACATGAATATTGAACTCTGGATAGTTACTATAAGTACGTTAACATGAATATTGAACACTGGATAGTTACTATCAGTACGGAAACATGAATATTGAACACTGGATAGTTACTATCAGTACGGAAACATGAATATTGAATACTGGATAGTCACTATCAGTACATACATTAACATGAATATTGAACACTGGATAGTCACTATCAGTACATTAACATGAATATTGAACAATGGATAGTCACTACAAGTACGTTAACATGAATATTGAACACTGAATAGTTATTATCAGTACGTGAACATGTATATTGAATACTGGATAGT